AGATCTCTTGATGCCAGGGTGAAAAACAATCTATTCTTCTGTACATCTACATCTCTTGATGCCTGGGGGAAAAACAACCTATTCTTCTGTATATCTACATCTCTTGATGCCAGAGGAAAAACAACCTATTCTTCTGTACATCTACATCTCTTGATGGCAGGGGGAGAAACAACCTATTCTTCTGTATATCTACATCTCTTGATGCCAGAGGAAAAACAACCTATTCTTCTGTACATCTACATCTCTTGATGGCAGAGGAAAAACAACCTATTCTTCTGTACATCTACATCTCTTGATGGCAGGGGGAGAAACAACCTATTCTTCTGTATATCCCCATCTCTTGATGCCAGGGGAAGAAACAACCTATTCTTATGTATATCCACATCTCTTGATGCCAGAGGAAAAACAACCTACTTTTGTGTATATCCACATCTCTTGATGCCGGGGGAAAAACAACCTTCTTTCCTGTATATCCACATCTCTTGATATCAGGGAGAAAACCTACTTTTGTGTATATCCACATCTCTTGATATCAGCGGAAAAACAACCTACTTTTCTGTATATCCACATCTCTTGATATCAGGGGAAAAACAAACTACTTTTGTGTATATCCACATCTCTTGATATCAAGGGGAAAACAAACTACTTTTGTGTATATCCACATCTCTTGATGTCAGGGGGAAAACAACCTACTTTTGTGTACATCTACATCTCTTGATGCCGGGGGTAGAGGGGAGGGGGGGGGGGGAATAACCTACTTTTCTGTATATCCACATCTCTTGATGTCAGGGGTGAAAAAAAAAAACCAAATTTTCTGTATATCCACATACCATAACCAGAGCTACTGAAAACAATATGACAGTAGCAAAACAGCCAAGCCAAGAGAAGTACTGAACTCTCTGTTTAAACTTTCTCCTTCCCCATAATAGGTTGATTTGAGTACCCATGTTAACAGAGAAGGAGGGGATTCAAACATGTGACTACCAAAACAGCAGGCAAACAACTCTACCTTTATAAATATGATATGTCTGATTAAGACAAGATTTATTTAATAAAAAAGGCAATAAAAGTCATTTTTGTTCACAAACACGTAGAGAAATCATATACAGACAATGTAGTACAAATAAAAAATGGAGGTAAAATATATATAAACATTGATATGTCTGATTCTGTTTTGTGAGTATACGTTATCGTATAGTCCTTCAGGAAAGAATATATACTGTTCATTAACATGCTCAGAAATCACACAGAGATGCAGGTAAAATATATATAGACATTGATATGTTTGACTGGGTACATAACTGCAATCCAGAATACAAACTGTTCATTAACATGTTCAAAAACCCCAGACAGATAAAAGAAATTTTAAAAACGTGTTAGTAAGACATATCTAGAAACTGATATGTGATATTTCTGACTCTGTTACATGACTACACAATGCAAAGGTCAGGCAACAGCCATTTACTGATATGGCACCACCCAGCACAAGATATGGACAACAGCTGACTGTACCACCCAGCACATGATATGGACAACAGCTGACTGTACCACCCAGCACATGATATGGACAACAGCTGACTGTACCACCTAGCACAAGATATGGACAACAGCTGACTGTACCGCCCAGCACATGATATGGACAACATCTGACTACCACCCAGCACAAGATATGGGCAACAGCTGACTGTACCACCCAGCACATGATATGGACAACATCTGATTGCACCGCCCAGCACATGATATGGACAACAGCTGACTGTACCACCCAGCACATGATATGGACAACATCTGACTGTACCACCCAGCACAAGATATGGACAACAGCTGACTGCACCGCCCAGCACATGATATGGACAACAGCTGACTTTACCACCCAGCACATGATATGGACAACATCTGACTGTCTCACAAAGTACACAATATGGACAGCTGACTGTACCACATAGCCCAAGATATGGACAATATTTGACTGTCCCACCCAGCACATGATATGGACAACAGCTGACTGTACCGCCCAGCACATGATATGGAAAACAGCTGACTGCACCGCCCAGCACATTATGCAGAAAACAGCTGACCTCATCAAAGAGACAAGAAAAACTTTGGCTTTTTTTGTTCAATATCTGTTGAATATTTCATCTATCCACAGTACTGTCAGAACTAATCTAGCTGGTTTGTTCATTATCTGTTCAATATTTCATTTATTCACAGTACTGTCAGAACTAATCTAGCTGGTTTGTTCATTATCTGTTCAATATTTCATTTATTCACAGTACTGTCATAACTAATCTGGCTGGTTTGTTCATTATCTGTTCAATATTTCATTTATTCACAGTACTGTCAGAACTAATCTAGCTGGTTTGTTCATTATCTGTTCAATATTTCATTTATTCACAGTACTGTCATAACTAATCTGGCTGGTTTGTTCATTATCTGTTCAATATTTCATTTATACACAGTACTGTCAGAACTAATCTGGCTGGTTTGTTCATTTTCTGTTCAATATTTCATTTATTCACAGTACTGTCATAACTAATCTGGCTGGTTTGTTCATTATCTGTTCAATATTTCATTTATTCACAGTACTGTCAGAACTAATCTAGCTGGTTTGTTCATTATCTGTTCAATATTTCATTTATTCACAGTACTGTCATAACTAATCTGGCTGGTTTGTTCATTATCTGTTCAATATTTCATTTATACACAGTACTGTCATAACTAATCTGGCTGGTTTGTTCATTATCTGTTCAATATTTCATTTATTCACAGGACTGTCATAACTAATCTAGCTGGTTTGTTCATTATCTGTTCAATATTTCATTTATACACAGTACTGTCATAACTAATCTGGCTGGTTTGTTCATTATATGTTCAATATTTCATTTATACACAGTACTGTCATAACTAATCTGGCTGGTTTGTTCATTATCTGTTCAATATTTCATTTATTCACAGGACTGTCAGAACTAATCTAGCTGGTTTGTTCATTATCTGTTCAATATTTCATTTATACACAGTACTGTCATAACTAATCTGGCTGGTTTGTTCATTATCTGTTCAATATTTCATTTATACACAGTACTGTCATAACTAATCTAGCTGGTTTGTTCATTATCTGTTCAATATTTCATTTATACACAGTACTGTCAGAACTAATCTAGCTGGTTTGTTCATTATCTGTTCAATATTTCATTTATACACAGTACTGTCATAACTAATCTGGCTGGTTTGTTCATTATCTGTTCAATATTTCATTTATTCACAGTACTGTCATTACTAATCTGGCTGGTTAGTTCATTATCTGTTCAATATTTCATTTATTCACAGTACTGTCAGAACTAATCTGGCTGGTTTGTTCATTATCTGTTCAATATTTCATTTATTCACAGGACTGTCAGAACTAATCTAGCTGGTTTGTTCATTATCTGTTCAATATTTTATTTATTCACAGGACTGTCAGAAGATCTGGAACAGTGGCATTTGGCCTAAAGCGTGGAAAAGAACAGTCTATATCCCTCTCCCAAAGAAAGGAAATCCAAAACTATGCTCCTACTACCGTACCATAGCATTATTAAGTCATGCTAGCAAAATCCTCTTACGAATTATCATGAAAAGGATTGAAAAGAAATTACAATATGAACTAGATGAAGCACAAGCGGGTTTTAGACAGGGTAGAGGAACTAGGGATCACATATTTAATATGAGAATAATTTGTGAAAAATGCAGAGAATACAATGTAGATCTTCATGCTTGTTTTATTGATTATAGCAAGGCATTTGATTGTGTCCAGCACCACCAACTGTGGACTATTACGAAAAGTATGGGGTTTCCAGCGCATTTAGTGCAATTAATTGAAAATCTCTATCATGAACAAGCAGCCATCAGAGCAGCTGGTGAAACATCTGATTGGTTCGAGGTGCAAAAGGGGGTGAGGCAGGGGTGCATTCTCTCACCATACCTATTCAATATATACGCAGAAAATATAATGAGAAATGTCAAAAATGACCAGACTTGTGACAGTTATGATCCGCTCAAAATTGGTGGCAACCCTATTTCGGAACTCCGCTACGCAGATGACACAGTCCTCCTTTCAAACAGCGTAAAGGGAATAGAAAATTTAATATTGTCCGTCCAAAAGCACAGTGAAAATCAAAATCTGTTCTTGAATTTAGAGAAAATAAAAATAATGTCCTCAGATAAAACTGGTTGTCACCCAAAAATAACAATAAATGATGAAGAAATTTAAAATGTCAAAAACTTTGAATATCTAGGCTCTATAATAAACAACAATGGAGAATGTTCAAGTGAAATTAAAAGGAGGATGGCCATAGCAATGCAAAGATTTAACAGCCTTTAAAAATCTATGGTTAAACACCAGCAAGGAGATAAAAATTTGAATTTTGAGAGCATGCATCTTCCCTGTGGCTACATACGGATGTGAGTCGTGGACTATCTCTCAGTCCTTAAGAAAGAGAATAGGGGTTTTTGAGCTGAAATGCTATAGAAAGATTCTCAGAATATCTTGGACAAAGAAGATGAGAAATATTGACATCTTAAAAAATCTGAACATCAAGGAAGATTGGCTAATAAACAGCATCCTTTCTCGAAAGCTGAAATATTTTGGTCATATCAAGCGCCACGACGGATTGGAAAAATTATAGCAGAAGGCATGGTACCAGGAAGGAGGGGCAGGGGACGACCGACACGAAGATGGGCACAGGATTTAAGTGATTCCTTGAGTGTGAAAGTTCATAGGGTGGGAGAACTGGCAAGAGACCAAGTTTCTTACAGGCAGACTGTGATGAGAGCGACGTTCTGCAAAGGACCTGCTACATGATGATGATGACTGTCAGAACTAATCTGGCTGGTTTGTTCATTATCTGTTCAATATTTCATTTATACACAGTACTGTCAGAACTAATCTGGCTGGTTTGTTCATTATCTGTTCAATATTTCATTTATTCACAGTACTGTCAGAACTAATCTAGCTGGTTTGTTCATTATCTATTCAAGAGTTCATCTATCCAAGGGACTGCCATAGCTACTCTAGCAAATCGGTTACTACGAGCATGTGGTTGTGACATGCCACACTGACCACTGCCCCGACTGACAAGACCAGCCAGTAGATAACGCCCTGAAACTTGGTCCAGGCACATGAGTGGTCCGCCGCTGTCACCCTGTAACAAATTATGTTTACAAGTCAAATAAATCAGTCACTCTGAATAATTATGTTTATAAGTAAATTAAATAAGTCACTGTGAAAAATTATGTTTACAAGTCAAATAAATCAGTCAACCTGTAACAAATTATGTTTACAAGTCAAATAAATCAGTCACTCCGTAAAAAGTTATGTTTATAAGTCCTATAAATCAGTCACTCCGCAAAAGATTATGTTTACAAGTCCTATAGTAAAGTAAATTAAATCAGTCACTCTGTGAAAAATTATGTTTAAAAGTCAAATAATCAGTCACCCTGTAGATAATTATATTTATAAGTCAATCAATTAGTCACCCTGTGAATAATTATGCTGACAACTGTATCAATCATTTACTCTAAAAGTAATTTCTTTTGACAATTACATCAATCCATTAACCTGAGAATGATTAAGCTGACAAGTATATCAATCAATTTGCTGAAGAATAATTATGTTGACAATTATATCAATCAGTTAACCTGAGAATGATTAAGCTGGCAATTATATCAGCTAATCATCGGTCTTAGGACCCGATTGGGGGGGAATAGACCTGCTGGCATGTTATTGAAGGTGAATAATTAAAAGTTGCTGAAATCTGATGTTTTAGATGAAAGGTATATCACAGCCCATCTGTAAACCACTATACAATGTGTTAATTAAAAATTTTTAAAAAATACAAAGTTTCAAAAGAATAAGTGAGGTCCCATCTTCACAACGAAGGTTGACTGCAATAGATCAACGCACTGTCATTCACTCTGGTAGTACATTACCTAAGACTGTTGTTTGTACATCTCTAAATGTTAACATCCTCCTGCTTGTATCACTGCCTACTTTTTGCCTGCTTGCTTTCAACTTTTCCGAACTATAGGGTTTTTATAAGAATATTATGTCTTTTAATATGCTTCAATTGTCTTTTTTTTTTCTCTTTGTCTTTCCAGAACATTCACTGCAAACTCCCTCAACACAGAGCTAAATCTCTCAACACAGAGCTAAATCTCTCAACACAGAGCTAAATCTCTCAACACAGAGCTAAATATCTCAACACAGAACTAAATATCTCAACAATACATAGCAATGCAACAACTAAAACCGAAGCATTACAGAATAATGACAAATATGCAGAAAATATCTGAACAAACAAGCAAACAGATTTTTTAAAATGATTTATATTTTATTTAATATAAATCTATTTATATTAAAAATCAATGTTTGTTTGTTTGTCACCTATAGGCTCGGTAATTACTGAACCGATTTCGCTGACATTTTCAGGATATGTTTGTTTCGATGCCGGGATTCTACCTGTCATAGTTTGAAATAGGTAGTGAAATTTGTTGGGAAAATTCTTGAAACTAATATTTAAATTTTTTTCTACAGTGACATTTAATTACAGCCACGCCGGTAAATATGCATGTGCAGCACTTTCAACATAAAAGACTATCTCTGTATCTGTGCAGACAATTAATGTGATATTAACCAACTTAGACATGTGCAATCTCTATTTTTTTCTTTTCCATTTAGCCAGACTATGCCACAGCAATGCATGGCCACGTACAGCTAGTAATTTAGATAATATATAAAATATCTACGAAAACACAAGCAAACAGATAAATGGCCAGCTATGTTAGCAAGGTGGCTAAATGTCTGTCTGCCTGTCTGTCTTTATGTCTTAGGTTCAATTTTGGCAGAATGTTTAAAATAAAATGATACCCTTGGCTCCAAGGTCTAAAACAGTACTAGGAAATGTGCAGGGAAGATAAGGAGGCTAGCCAGATTTATACCACATCAGTGACAGAGTACCAGTTGGACATACAAAATTGGCTCAAGCATTTTTTTCAAATAGCATCGAAAGTGTCTTTTTTTTTTAAAGTTACCGCTGGACAGAAAACCAACACACTAAAAAGAAATAAATGACTGAAAATGCTAAAATTTGATGAACACAAAAACCAACGTGAAATATGACATTTAACTGAGTGCAGTCTGAAAATATAGTTAATTGAGAGCAATCTGACCATACAGTTAACTGAGTGAAATCTGAACATATAGTTAACTGGGTGAAATCTGAACATATAGTTAACTGAGTGAAATCTGAACATATAGTTAACTGGGTGAAATCTGAACACACAGTTAATCTGAAAAGCAGCTGACAGTGCAACATGATTAGCAACTGTCACAGTGTAACTTGACATGTCAAAGAATCAGACTCTGAAGGTCAAAGTTTTATGAAGATTGTTGGCTCATGATCTGAAGATTGTTGGCTCATGATCTGAAGAATGTTGGCTCATGATCTGAAGATTGTTGGCTCATGATCTGAAGATTGTTGGCTCATGATCTGAAGATCAACAGCGCATGATCTGAAGGCCAGTCACTCATGCTCTAGTCAGGTATTCATTTTATGGACTGCAATATTTGGTTCACAAGTGAAGTTTTTGTCTCTAAGATGCACAAAGATCATTACTATTGCTGAAAGTTTGTCTTTTTTAATGCTCTTGCTAGATGATTAGCTGCTCTGTGGAGAGAGAGAGAGAGAGAGAGAGAGAGACTGTCCCATACAATGCTCTGACTAGATGGTTGGCTGCTCTATAAAGAGAGAGACTGACCCATACGATGCTCTGACTAAATGGTTGGCTGCTCTATAAAGAGAAAGACTGACCCATACGATGCTCTGACTAGATGATTGGCTGCTCTATAAAGAGAAAGACTGACCCATACGATGCTCTGACTAGATGGTTGGCTGCTCTATAAAGAGAAAGACTGACACATACGATGCTCTGACTAGATGGTTGGCTGCTCTATAAAGAGAAAGACTGACCCATACAATGCTCTGACTAGATGATTGGCTGCTCTATAAAGAGAGAGACTGACCCATACGATGCTCTGACTAGATGATTGGCTGCTCTATAAAGAGAGAGACTGACCCATACGATGCTCTGACTAGATGGTTGGCTGCTCTATAAAGAGAAAGACTGACCCATACAATGCTCTGACTAGATGGTTGGCTGCTCTATAAAGAGAGAGAGACTGACCCATACGATGCTCTGACTAGATGATTGGCTGCTCTATAAAGAGAGAGACTGACCCATACGATGCTCTGACTAGATGGTTGGCTGCTCTATAAAGAGAGAGACTGACCCATCCGATGCTCTGACTAGATGGTTGGCTGCTCTATAAAGAGAGAGACTGACCCATACGATGCTCTGACTAGATGGTTGGCTGCTCTATAAAGAGAGAGACTGACCCATATGATGCTCTGACTAGATGGTTGGCTGCTCTATAAAGAGAAAGACTGACCCATACGATGCTCTGACTAGATGGTTGGCTGCTCTATAAAGAGAAAGACTGACCCATACGATGCTCTGTATAGATGGTTGGCTGCTCTATAAAGAGAAAGACTGACCCATACAATGCTCTGACTAGATGGTTGGCTGCTCTATAAAGAGAAAGACTGACCCATACGATGCTCTGACTAGATGGTTGGCTGCTCTATAAAGAGAGAGACTGACCCATACGATGTTCTGACTAGATGGTTGGCTGCTCTATAAAGAGAGAGACTGACCCATACGATGCTCTGGCTAGATGGTTGGCTGCTCTATAAAGAGAGAGACTGACCCATACAATGCTCTGACTAGATGGTTGGCTGCTCTATAAAGAGAAAGACTGACCCATACGATGCTTTGACTAGATGGTTGGCTGCTCTATAAAGAGAAAGACTGACCCATACAATGCTCTGACTAGATGGTTGGCTGCTCTATAAAGAGAGAGAGACTGACCCATACGATGCTCTGACTAGATGATTGGCTGCTCTATAAAGAGAGAGACTGACCCATTCGATGCTCTGGCTAGATGGTTGGCTGCTCTATAAAGAGAAAGACAGACCCATACGATGCTTTGACTAGATGGTCGGCTGCTCTATAAAGAGAAAGACTGACCCATACGATGCTCTGACTAGATGGTTGGCTGCTCTATAAAGAGAAAGACTGACCCATACAATGCTCTGTCTAGATGGTTGGCTGCTCTATAAAGAGAAAGACTGACCCATACAATGCTCTGACTAGATGGTTGGCTGCTCTATAAAGAGAGAGACTGACCCATACGATGCTCTGACTAGATGGTTGACTGCTCTATAAAGAGAGAGACTGACCCATACGATGCTCTGACTAGATGGTTGGCTGCTCTATAAAGAGAGAGACTGACCCATACGATGCTCTGACTAGATGGTTGGCTGCTCTATAAAGAGATAGACTGACCCATACAATGCTCTGACTAGATGGTTGGCTGCTCTATAAAGAGAAAGACTGACCCATACGATGCTCTGACTAGATGGTTGGCTGCTCTATAAAGAGAAAGACTGACCCATACAATGCTCTGACTAGATGGTTGGCTGCTCTATAAAGAGAGAGAGACTGACCCATACGATGCTCTGACTAGATGATTGGCTGCTCTATAAAGAGAGAGACTGACCCATTCGATGCTCTGGCTACATGGTTGGCTGCTCTATAAAGAGAAAAACAGACCCATACGATGCTCTGACTAGATGGTTGGCTGCTCTATAAAGAGAAAGACTGACCCATACAATGCTCTGACTAGATGGTTGGCTGCTCTATAAAGAGAAAGACTGACCCATACAATGCTCTGACTAGATGGTTGGCTGCTCTATAAAGAGAAAGACTAACCCATACGATGCTCTGACTAGATGGTTGGCTGCTCTATAAAGAGAAAGACTAACCCATACAATGCTCTGACTAGATGGTTGGCTGCTCTATAAAGAGAAAGACTGGCCCATACGATGCTCTGACTAGATGGTTGGCTGCTCTATAAAGAGAAAGACTGACCCATACAATGCTCTGACTAGATGGTTGGCTGCTCTATAAAGAGAGAGAGACTGACCCATACGATGCTCTGACTAGATGATTGGCTGCTCTATAAAGAGAGAGACTGACCCATTCGATGCTCTGGCTAGATGGTTGGCTGCTCTATTAAGAGAAAGACAGACCCATATGATGCTCTGACTAGATGGTTGGCTGCTCTATAAAGAGAAAGACTGACCCATAAGATGCTCTGACTAGATGGTTGGCTGCTCTATAAAGAGAAAGACTGACCCATAAAATGCTCTGACTAGATGGTTGGCTGCTCTATAAAAAGAAAGACTAACCCATAAGATGCTCTGACTAGATGGTTGGCTGCTTTATAAAGAGAAAGACTGATTGTTTGCTTTTGTCTTGACTCGCAGCAACTCTAGCCTACCCTCAGTTCAGGTGATTAGTTAGTAGGAACACAGATTTCGACGACATACAGCTCTGACGTAAGTATTGTTAATTGCTGTTCCAACAAATGTGTCATCATGTCGCTGTTCTAAGTTCTCACTCATCTTTCTAAGGATCAGTCACAAATACTGCCACATCAGGAACATAGTTTGAACATGCAGTCTTTTACCTTTTATTCTGGAATATCCACTGGAACTGGTATCTCCAATCTGAAGCACAGTGCCACGAGTATTCTGTCGCTTGATTTTACAATTCAGGGTCACTTCTGTTCAGCCATCTTCCTTACATACCAGGTACTTGCTCCCACCATCAGCAGTCTAATTTCATTTCAGTTATCCTCTCACTCAATTCGACCTGCCCCCTGTACTGTCCAAAACCAACAAACTATTCCTACTTTCTCACCTCCAATCCTTTGTTCCCATCACACGAGTTTCTTCTTCCAATTGTTCACTCCTACACAGGAAATGACATGCAAACTTTTTTTCATGCTTCCCCTGCTTAACTGGTTCTCGACCCTAAACTTGTCAAACTATGGAGAGACCCACCCATATGTTGCTCTTAGTAGATGTTTAGATGCTTTGTGAAGAAAAATACTGACCCATATAATAGTCTCGGTAGATGGCTGGCTGCTCTGTGGAGAGAGAGACTGATCCATACAATGCTCTCAGTAGAGTGTTGGGTGCTCTGTGGTTAGAGAGAAACTGATCCATACGATGCTCTCAGTAGATGGTTGGGTGCTCTGTGGTTAGAGAGAAACTGATCCATACGATGCTCTCAGTAGATGGTTGGGTGCTCTGTGGTTAGAGAGAAACTGATCCATACGATGCTCTCAGTAGATAGTTGGGTGCTCTGTGGTTAGAGAGAAACTGATCCATACGATGCTCTCAGTAGATAGTTGGGTGCTCTGTGGTTAGAGAGAAACTGATCCATACGATGCTCTCAGTAGATAGATGGGTGCTCTGTGGTTAGAGAGAAACTGATCCATACGATGCTCTCAGTAGATAGTTGGGTGCTCTGTGGTTAGAGAGAAACTGATCCATACGATGCTCTCAGTAGATAGTTGGGTGCTCTGTGGTTAGAGAGAAACTGATCCATACGATGCTCTCAGTAGATAGTTGGGTGCTCTGTGGTTAGAGAGAAACTGATCCATACAATGCTCTCAGTAGATAGTTGGGTGCTCTGTGGTTAGAGAGAAACTGATCCATACGATGCTCTCAGTAGATAGTAGGGTGCTCTGTGGTTAGAGAGAAACTGATCCATACGATGCTCTCAGTAGATAGTTGGGTGCTCTGTGGTTAGAGAGAAACTGATCCATACGATGCTCTCAGTAGATAGTTGGGTGCTCTGTGGTTAGAGAGAGACTGACCCATACAATGCTCTCAGCAGATGGTTGGCTGCTCTGTGGAGAGAGAGAGACAGAGAGAGACAGACAGAGAGAGAGAGACAGAGAGAGAGAGAGACTGACCCATACAATGCTCTCGGTAGATGGAGGCTGCTCTGTGGAGAGAAAGAGACTGACGCATACGGGATTAAACCCAAGTCAGTACAGCTGACCATCTTGACATTAAAAGACATTAAAAACAATCCTAGTATCCTACCTGGCATGCTGTAGGTGTGCCAAACAGAAAGCCAGCACAGATTGTGGAGTTTGTGTTGACAGCCTTTTCACCGACCACTGTGTTCCTGCTACATCGACTTTCCGACCACATCTGCATTCTGGTGTCCCTCAGCTGGCTCGCTCTCAGGTCTACACAGACAGCAAGTATATAGACTACTGAACTAACACATATAAGACAGCAAGCATATAAACTACTGAACTATCACATTTGGAAAGCAAGCATATAGACTACTGAACTATCACATTTGGAAAGCAAGTATATAGACTACTGAACTAACACATTTGGAAAGCAAGTATATAGACTACTGAACTAACACATTTGGAAAGCAAGCATATAGACTACTGAACTAACACATTTGGAAAGCAAGTATATAGACTACTGAACTAACACATTTGGAAAGCAAGTATATAGACTACTGAACTAACACATTTGGAAAGCAAGCATATAGACTACTGAACTAACACATTTGGAAAGCAAGTATATAGACTACTGAACTAACACATTTGGAAAGCAAGTATATAGACTACTGAACTAACACATTTGGAAAGCAAGCATATAAACTACTGAACTAACACATTTGGAAAGCAAGTATATAGACTACTGAACTAACACATTTGGAAAGCAAGCATATAGACTACTGAACTAACACATTTGGAAAGCAAGCATATAGACTACTGAACTATCACATTTGGAAAGCAAGTATATAGACTACTGAACTATCACATTTGGAAAGCAAGTATATAGACTACTGAACTAACACATTTGGAAAGCAAGTATATAAACTACTGAACTAACACATTTGGAAAGCAAGTATATAGACTACTGAACTAACACATTTGGAAAGCAAGTATATAGACTACTGAACTATCACATTTGGAAAGCAAGTATATAGACTACTGAACTAACACATATAAGACAGCAAGCATATAGACTACTGAACTAACACATTTGGAAAGCAAGCATATAAACTACTGAACTAACACATATATGACAGCAAGCATATAAACTACTGAACTAACACATATAAGACAGCAAGCATATAGACTACTGAACTAACACATTTGGAAAGCAAGCATATAGACTACTGAACTATCACATATAAGACAGCAAGCATATAGACTACTGAACTAACACATTTGGAAAGCAAGCATATAAACTACTGAACTATCACATTTGGAAAGCAAGTATATAAACTACTGAACTATCACATTTGGAAAGCAAGCATAGAAACTACTGAACTATCACATTTGGAAAGCAAGCATATAGACTACTGAACTAACACATTTGGAAAGCAAGTATAGAAACTACTGAACTAACACATTTGGAAAGCAAGTATATAAACTACTGAACTATCACATTTGGAAAGCAAGCATATAGACTACTGAACTAACACATTTGGAAAGCAAGCATATAGACTACTGAACTAACACAAACAGGACAGCACATAAACTACTGAACTATCATCACACATAGGACAACAAGCATATAGACTAATTAACTAACACATATAAGACAGCACATAGACTACTGAACTAATACATATAGGACAGCATATAGACTACTGAACTAACACATATAGGACACCATATAGACTACTGAACTAACACATACAGGACAGCATTTGGACTACTGAACTAACACACATAGGACAGCACACAGATTATTGAACTAACACAAATAGGACAGAACACAGATTACTGAACAAACACATAAAGAACAGCACACAGATTACTGAACTAACACATAAAGAACAGCACACAGATTAATGAACTAACACAAATAGGACAGCACACAGAGTATTGAACTAACACAAATAGGACAGCACACAGATTACTGAACTAACACATAAAGAACAGTACACAGATTACTGAACTAACACATAAAACAGCACATAGATTACTGAACTAACACAAATAGGACAGCACATAGATTACTGAACTAACACAAATAGGACAGCACACAGATTATTGAACTAACACAAATAGGACAGCACACAGATTATTGAACTAACACAAATAGGACAGCACACAGATTACTGAACTAACACATAAAGAACAGCACACAGATTACTGAACTAACACATGAAGAACAGCACACAGATTACTGAACTAACACAAATAGGACAGCACACAGATTATTGAACAAACACAAATAGGACAGCACACAGATTACTGAACTAACACATAAAACAGCACACAGATTACTGAACTAGCACAAATAGGACAGCACACAGATTACTGAACTAACACAATTAGGACAGCACACAAATTATTGAACTAACACAAATAGGACAGCACACAGATTACTGAACCTGCTTGTTTCTCTCTCCCATACTCTTTTATTTTTACTGAGCATTATTTTACCAAAGTTTTTGGACATAACTGACAACAAAGTAATTCCTCTCCAGCTGTCACAGTAAGATTACCTTTTTTCGGGAATTTTCACAATTATTCCTTGCTTCCACTTAGTTTTTTTTCTCCTCCATCGCTCATGTTCTATTAAACAGATCTCCAAGTTGAGCATTTCTGCATTTCAGAGTTTATGGTGATACCATCTGCTGCCTAGAGCACTTCTGTTGTTTAACTTAGTTTTTAGTAGCTTCTTAGGTCTCATGTCTTTATGTCTGTCTGTTTGTGTATGTCTGCATAATTTTGCCTGTCTGTTTGTTTACCTGCTTGTTTTAGCATTTTTGCAGGAATATGTGTCATGTCAACAATTTTAATGAATTTGTCTCCTTCAATAGAAGCTTATACACCTGGCTTCCTATGTCAGAGATGGTAAGAGAGAGAGGAAGGGATAGTGAAAGAGTCTGGAGAAAAGTCCTGTTAATCTGGTTAACATAAGATAAGAACAGAAATGTTCTGTAATGTTGGCTAACATAAGATAAGAACAGAAATGTTCTGTAATGTTGGCTAACATAAGATAAGAACAGAAATGTCCTGTAATGTTGGCTAACATAAGATAAGAACAGAAATGTCCTGTAATGTTGGCTAACATAAGATAAGAACAGAAATGTCCTGTAATGTTGGCTAACATAAGATAAGAACAGAAATGTTCTGTAATGTTGGCTAACATAAGATAAGAACATAAATGTTCTGTAATGTTGGCTAACATAAGATAAGAACAGAAATGTCCTGTAATGTTGGCTAACATAAGATAAGAACAGAAATGTCCTGTAATGTTGGCTAACATAAGATAAGAACAGAAATGTCCTGTAATGTTGGCTAACATAAGATAAGAACAGAAATGTTCTGTAATGTTGGCTAACATAAGATAAGAACAGAAATGTCCTGTAATGTTGGCTAACATAAGATAAGAACAGAAATGTTCTGTAATTTTGGCTAACATAAGATAAGAACAGAAATGTCCTGTAATGTTGGCTAACATAAGATAAGAACAGAAATGTTCTGTAATGTTGGCTAACATAAGATAAGAACAGAAATGTCCTGTAATGTTGGCTAACATAAGATAAGAACAGAAATGTCCTGTAATGTTGGCTAACATAAGATAAGAACAGAAATGTCCTGTAATGTTGGCTAACATAAGATAAGAACAGAAATGTCCTGTAAGTATTGGCTAACATAAGATAAGAACAGAAATGTCCTGTAAATGTTGGTTAACATAAGATAAGAACAGAAATGTTCTGTAATGTTGGCTAACATAAGATAAGAACAGAAATGTCCTGTAATGTTGGCTAACATAAGATAAGAACAGAAATGTCCTGTAATGTTGGCTAACATAAGATAAGAACAGAAATGTTCTGTAATGTTGGCTAACATAAGATAAGAACAGAAATGTCCTCTAAATGTAGGTTAACATAAAATAGGAATATAAATATTTAGACTAAAATAAAAGACATGGACTGCTAACCTCAAGGGCAAGGCTGGATAAATAGTATCAACAAACTTACAGGCAAGGCTGGATAAATAGTATCAACAAACTTACAGGCAAGGCTGGATAAATAGTATTAACAAACTTACAGGCAAGGCTGGATAAATAGTATCAACAAACTTACAGGCAAGGCTGGATAAATAGTATCAACAAACTTACAGGCAAGGCTGGATAAATAGCATCAACAAACTTACAGGCAAGGCTGGATAAATAGTATCAACAAACTTACAGGCAAGGCTGGATAAATAGTATCAACAAACTTACAGGCAAGGCTGGATAAATAGTATCAACAAACTTACAGGCAAGGCTGGATAAATAGTATCAACAAACTTACAGGCAAGGCTGGATAAATAGTATCAACAAACTTACAGGCAAGGCTGGATAAATAGTATCAACAAACTTACAGGCAAGGCTGGATAAATAGTATCAACAAACTTACAGGCAAGGCTGGATAAATAGTATCAACAAACTTACAGGCAAGGCTGGATAAATAGTATCAACAAACTTACAGGCAAGGCTGGATAAATAGTATCAACAAACTTACATTGGCGAAAACTAAGAATTCCCCAGCCGGCCAGGTAACATAAAGATGTTGATGAAAAAACCTGAGCGTAGGATGGTAGACACAAGGGCTGAACAAAGTCTGACATGACCAGGTCATCTTGCAGCAGCAGCAGAGCAATGTCCCAGTCCACACCGCCGTTCTCTAGAATGGACCTCTCTGGGTGGAAAAATATCTTGGAAACATTCTGTGACTGGTGTGTGCCAGAACTGGAACCATTTCCAGGAATGATGACTGTTCCTGCCCTAATGGTGTAGTAGAAGGGGACCTTGCTGTAATCATGGAGAGTATCCACAGCACTAAAAATATATAGACAAAGTCAATGGGTGTTAACAAAGTCACTAGATGTTCACAAAATCAACTTCCGGTCAAAATGGACGCTAGTCACGGTCACTGTTTTGAGTCATGGCAAATTTTCTGCTTCTGCCAGATGGTTAACGTTGCATTTTTGCTCCATTTGTAGACTAAACATTTATAGTGTCATCGCCCAGCTACTGAGCTGAGTGCATGGCGCAACCCTGTGAGCTGCAGATTTCATTTGGACTGTTTTTAGCCTGTTACCAACCTGGTGTTGTGAATTGTAGATTCAGAAAATAGCGTGTGGCCTTCGTTGCAATAATGGTGGTGCCCTTATGTGATTAAAATTGATCGTGTGCGCAACTGCTGATCTGTTGGTAACTTCTGCTACCGTCGATAATGAACTGCATTTCTAATATTGGACTGTTTGTGTTAGCACTTCTAATGGCTACCGTATGCTTTTAATGCGTGTGTATGCTAGTGCATATGCTGAGACAGCAGTCTGTCAATCATTCCATTTATAGATTCAATAAATGTTTATAAGATGAAACGTTGGCAGTTGACCAAGAGGTTGCCTGACAGACTGTGATACAAGTGATCTTCTGTGAGGGGCCTGCTACATGATGATGATAAAGACAAGGCAGCACAGACATGTTCATTTTTGCATTCAGATGAAGAGAGAAAGATGAATAGAGTTGAGTTAATAGAAGAAAGTAAGAAACCAACTCACAACATGACACAGTGGGCTGCTGTCAAAACCCATCTGGCTCCAATTAAAACACCAGTACAGATTGGCTTGTCCAGGTATGCCAGAGACACCACCCAGGGCCACTTGCCAGGGGCTGCTATGTTTCCACCTGCTATATACGACTCCAGAAAGGCTACTTTCCGCTGTCCACAACCTTCACATTTATGGAAGACACAATTATCAACTTAAATGTTCACAGATTCCACTCTCATGGAAGAGAAATACACATTAGACAGAATAAACAGAATAATGTTCACATATCTCACACTCATGGGAAAGAAATATAGCATGAATGTTCATAGTTTGTAAACATTTTAGTATGGATACATGTCTACGCACAATCACAGTTTATCTATGAACTATATGATATGGATACATGTTAACACACAACCACAGTTTATCTGTGAACTATATGGTATGGATACATGTCTGCACACAATCACAGTTTATCTGTGAACTATATGGTATGGATACATGTTAACACACAACCACAGTTTGTCTGTGAACTATATGGTATGGATACATGTCTACATACAATCACAGTTTATCTGTGAACTATATGGTATGGATACATGTCTGCACACAATCACAGTTTATCTATGAACTATATGGTATGGATACATGTTAACACACAACCACAGTTTATCTGTGAACTAAATGGTATGGATACATGTCTACACACAATCACAGTTTATCTGTGAACTATATGGTATGGATACGTGTCTACACACAATCACAGTTTATCTATGAACTATATGATATGGATACATGTTAACACACAATCACAGTTTATCTGTGAACTATATGGTATGGATACATGTCTGCACACAATTGTACAGTTTATCTGTAAACTATATGGTACAGATATGTCTAGAAACAATCATATGGTTTATCTGTAAACTATATGGTATGGATATATGTCTAAGCATAATCATACAGATTATGTATACATCCCCACACATGATTTTGAAGTTTATCTGTGAACTATATGGTATGGAAATAACTACACACAATTGTACGGTTTATTTTAAACTATGTGGTATGAACATAGTTCTAAACAAAATCATATAGTTTAACTGTAAACATTGATACATGTCTTCACACAATCATACAGTTTATCTGTAAACTATATGATATAAACATATCTACACACAATCATGCAGTTTATCTGTAAGTTATATGGTATGGATGCATGTCTACAAACAATCATACAGTTTGCATGTCAACTAATGGTATGGACATTCTACAAACAATCATATGGTTTTTCAGTAGATGATATGGTATTGATATATGTTAACACACAATCACACAGATTATGTGTAAACTATAGGATATGCACACATATCTACACACAATTATATAGTTTCTCTGTACACTATATATGGTATGGATACATGTCTGCACACAATCATACAGTTTATCTGTAAACTAAAGGCTACAGATATGTCTAAAACAATCATATGGTTTATCTGTAAACTTTATGGTATGGATACATATCTGCACACAATCATACAGATTATGGACACATACCAACAAATGACTGTGAAGTTTATCTGTAAACTATATAGTATGGATACATGTCTACAAACAATCATATAATTTATCTGTCAACTATATGGTATGGACATGTCTACAAACAATCATATAATTTATCTGTAAACTATATGGTATGGACATGTCTACAAACAATCATATAATTTATCTGTAAACTATATGGCATGGACCTGTCTACAAACAATCATATAATTTATCTGTAAACTATATGGTATGGAAATGTCTACAAACAATCATATAATTTATCTGTAAACTATATGGTATGGACATGTCTACAAACAATCATATAATTTATCTGTAAACTATATGGTATGGACCTGTCTACAAACAATCATATAATTTATCTGTAAACTATATGGTATGGAAATGTCTACAAACAATCATATAATTTATCTGTAAACTATATGATATGGACATGTCTACAAACAACCATATAATTTATCTGTAAACTATATGGTATGGACATGTCAACAAGCTGGCAGACACTAACATGCAAAAATATGTGCTGATGGAGGATCAAAATGCCCACTGACCTGCGTCATGACATTGGATGTGAACGGTGGCTTCTGACTGACATGCATCACTGATTATATAGGTGCAGTGGGAGAATCATGGTGCATGAACACAGGACATGGTGTTGACCACAAGTGTAGCAGCAGTGTGTGACCAATCAAGCATGGCACAGAAGCAAATATATAATAGATGCAAGTAAACAATGCATTTGAGTAAAGATAATGGCTGTAGATGTGAGAAGGAGGTAGGGGCAGGGTAGGGGTTGGGGAGACACAGGGCAAGATGAGGCCAGAGGGCAATAGCACATGACAAGGTGAGGTTAGAAGACAGTGATACATGACAAGGTGAGATGAGAGGACAGTGATACATGACAAGGTGAGGTGAGAGGACAGTGATACATGAAAAGGTGAGGGGAGAGGACAGTGATACATGACAAGGTGAGGTGAGAGGACAGTGATACATGACAAGGTGAGATAAGATCACAGTGATACATGACAAGGTGAGGGGAGAGGACAGTGATACATGACAAGGTGAGGGGAGAGGACAGTGATACATGACAAGGTGAGGGGAGAGGACAGTGATACATGACAAGGTGAGGGGAGAGGACAGTGATACATAACAAGGTGAGATGGGAGAACAGTGATACATGACAAGGTGAGGGGAGAGGACAGTGATACATGACAAGGTGAGGTGAGAGAACAGTGATACATGACAAGGTGAGGTGAGAGGACAGTGATACATGACAAGGTGAGATGAGAGGACAGTGATACATGACAAGGTGAGGTGAGAGGACAGTGATACATGACAAGCTGAGATGAGAGGACAGTGATACATAACAAGGTGAGATGAGAGGACAGTGATACATGACAAGGTGAGATGGGAGGACAGTGATACATGACAAGGTGAGGTGAGAGGACAGTGATACATGACAAGGTGAGGTGAGAGGGCAGTGATACATGACAAGGTGAGGGGAGAGGACAGTGATACATGACAAGGTGAGGTGAGAGGACAGTGATACATGACAAGGTGAGGGGAGAGGACAGTGATACATGACAAGGTGAGATGAGAGGACAGTGATACATGACAAGGTGAGGTGAGAGGACAGTGATACATGACAAGGTGAGGTGAGAGGACAGTGATACATGACAAGGTGAGATGAGAGGACAGTGATACATGACAAGGTGAGATGAGAGGACAGTGATACATGACAAGGTGAGGTGAGATGACAGTGATACATGACAAGGTGAGGTGAGAGGACAGTGATACATGACAGGGTTAGGTGAGAGGACAGTGATACATGACAAGGTGAGGTTAGAGGACAGTGATACATACAAGGTGAGGTGACAGGACAGTGAAACATGACAAGTTGGGGTGAGAGGACAATAGTACAAACAAGGTTAGGTGAGAGGACAATAGTACAAACAAGGTTAGGTGAGAGGACAATAGTACAAACAAGGTTAGGTGAGAGGACAATAGTACAAACAAGGTTAGGTGAGAGGACAATAGTACAAACAAGGTTAGGTGAGAGGACAATAGTACAAACAAGGTTAGGTGAGAGGACAATAGTACAAACAAGGTTAGGTGAGAGGACAATAGTACGAACAAGGTTAGGTGAGAGGACAATAGTACAAACAAGGTTAGGTGAGAGGACAAAAGTACAAACAAGGTTAGGTGAGAGGACAATAGTACAAACAAGGTTAGGTGAGAGGACAATAGTACAAACAAGGTTAGGTGAGAGGACAATAGTACAAACAAGGTTAGGTGAGAGGACAATTGTAAAGAAAAGATGAGGTGAGAGGACAATGGTACGGTTAAGGTGAGGTGAGAGGACAATGGTACGGTTAAGGTGAGGTGAGAGGACAATGGTACGGTTAATGTGAGGTGAGAGGACAATGGTACGGTTAATGTGAGGTGAGAGGACAATGGTACGGTTAATGTGAGGTGAGAGGACTATCGTACGGTTAAGGTGAGGTGATAGGACAATAGTACGGTTAAGGTGAGGTGAGAGGACAATGGTACGGTTAATGTGAGGTGAGAGGACAATAGTACAGATAAAATGTGGTGAGAAGACAGTGGAACATGACAATGTGTGGGGAGAGGACATAGTACAAACAAGGTGAGGTGAGAGGACAATAGTACAGACAAAATGTGGTGAGAAGACAGTGGAACATGACAATGTGTGGGGAGAGGACATAGTACAAACAAGGTGAGGTTAGAGGACAATATTTCAGACAAGATAAGGTGAGAGGAAAGTGGTACATGAAAAGACGTGGGGAGGGGACAATAGCACAGACAAGGTGAGGTGAGAGGATAATAGTACAGAGAATGTGAGGTGACAGGAAAGGGACACATGACAAGATGTTGGGAGAGAATAGCCCAAAGAAATACATAAAGGGACAACAACACATGATAAGATTTCAAGTGACAATAGCATCTGACAAGACTGTGGGTGATAGTAGTATATGACAAGACTGTGGGTGATAGAAGCATATGACAAGACTGTGTGTGATAAAAGCATATGACAAGACTGTGGGTGATATTAGCATATGACAAGACTGTGGGTGATAGTAGCATATGACAAGACTGTGGGTGATAGTAGCATATGACAAGACTGTGGGTGATAGTAGCATATGACAAGACTGTGGGTGATAGTAGCATATGACAAGACTGTGCGTGATAGTAGTATATGACAAGATTGTGGGTTATAGTAGCAAATGACAAGACTGTGGGTGATAGTAGCATATGACAAGATTGTGAGTGATAGTAGCATATGACAAGACAGTGGGTGATAGTAGCATATGACAAGACTGTGGGTGATAGTAGCATATGACAAGACTGTTGGTGATAGTAGCATATGACAAGACTGTAGGTGATAGTAGCATATGACAAGACTGTGGGTGATAGTAGCATATGACAAGATTGTGGGTGATAGTAGTATATGACAAGGTGAGATAAGGGGGTAATAATAAGTAGCAGGATTATTTAAGTGGGCAATAGCAAATAACACAGATATTCCATTTTTGCATTTATGTGACTAGAGGCTATCCTACACGTGTAGAAATAATCTAAATTTATG